AAAAGGCAATATGGTGGTATGGGAAAAAAGAGAGGAAAAAAAGGCATGCCACAAAAGATTAAAAGAAAGCAGGAGAGGCTGTCAAAGTGGATCAAGTGATAGAGGCCTGGCTAGCAAGTGTGAGGCCCTGAGCTCAAACCCCAGTGCCACCAAAAAAAGAAGAAGAAAGAAGAAGAGAAGAAAAGAAGAAGAAGAAGAAGAAAAGAAGAAGAAGAAGGAGGAGGAGGAAGGAGGAGAAAAGAAGAAGGAGGAGAAAAGAAGGAGGAGGAAGAAGGAAGAAGGAAGAAGGAAGAAGGAAGAAGGAAGAAGGAAGAAGAAGGAAGAAGGAAGAAGGAAGAAGGAAGAAGGAAGAAGGAAGAAGAAGAAGAAGAAGGGAGTAGCAAGTGTGAGGCCCTGAGCTCAAACCCCAGTGCCACCAAAAAAAAGAAGAAGAAAGAAGGAGGAGGAGGAGGAGGAGGAGGAGGAGGAGGAGGAGGAGGAGGAGGAGGAAACCATGGTGGGTCGGGGGTATTTGAGGAACTAGTTCAAACTACAGGAGACTAAAGAGGATATGAGAAATAAATGATCCTTGAGGAGGAGGAGGAGGAGGAGGAGGAGGAGGAAACCATGGTGGGTCGGGGGTATTTGAGGAACTAGTTCAAACTACAGGAGACTAAAGAGGATATGAGAAATAAATGATCCTTGACTAGAGTCTACATGGGAAAAATTAAAAGCTGTAAAGGGCATTATTGAAAAACCTGGGAAAATCTGTGTATTAAGAATATATTAGATAACTCTGTATCGATACGATATTCCCTGAGCTAATTACATTGTGATAATACTGGAGAAATTATATAGAATTCTTTTTTCTTAGGAGACAAAGAAGTGCTATGACATTTGCAACTAATTCTGATGTGATTTAGGAAAAAGCGCATTGTGTAAGTACAGGAACAACACATATTCAGTACGGTAACAATCGGCAAGTTTAAGGAAAGTGCATGTAAGTGCTCAGGTGCTGTTTCAACGTTTTTATGGGTATGAGATGTCTCAAAAAAGTTGGAGAAAGAAAAATTACTAATATTACTTACTAAATTAGTAACAGCTAATAAAACTACACTACTTAATAAAAATAATGTGGATTCAAACAGGATGAATAAATATTTCAATACATTAATAAACATCCTGCAGTTTTTTTGAACAGTAAGTACTGGGGCTTGAACTCAGGGCCTCACACTTGCTGGGCAGATTCTCCAACACTGGAGCCCTCCACCACCCATTTTTTGTGTTGGGTATTTTCAAGATGTGGTCTTGTGAACTATTTGCTCAGACTAGCTCAAACTGTGATCCTCCTGATCTCTCCCTCGTAGCTAGGATTATAGACTGAGCCACCAGTGCCTGTCTTCCTGGAATTAATTTTTATGAGCATATTTTTGTCCTAGGAACAGATGCTAAAAAATAATTATTCCTGAGAGTACTTGGAAGTAAATAACCAGCTCTGGTGAAGTCTGGCAGCTGGTAATGTGTTTTGTTGTTTTTCTCATTGATTTTTGCTGTTATGCCACAGTCCATCATTATAACCAGATTAAAGAAGATACTGTTTGTCAAAAGAAGTATCAGATAATAAGTACTCTATGTTCAAGTAAAACTTCTGTGCTTTTACTTACAAGGTATTATCACCAAAAGAAAATGAATATTGTCTGATTATATTGACAGTCGGCTGAATAACATTTTTGCCCTCAGAAAAAGAATTCTAGTAAAAGAATTTCTTATACTCTACACCATGATAGCAAATGAAATGTTTGAATTAAAAAAAATAAGCAGCTATAATCTAAGACCAAAGCTTTTAAGATTAGAAATAAGCCAGCTTGGGATATTTTATTGCTTCAAAAGGAAAGGTACAGTTGAAGGCTACATAGAAAAAGAAATCAAACTACTTCAATTGAACATTATATCTAAGAGAATACAATGAAGAAAAATGATGTAGGAAAGATAAGTACTATAACACAGGTAGAAATATCCATGTGGCCCTTCTTTCTGATATGATGTCTTATTTCCTTATACAAGTAGGCTTTGGTGTTAAATAATTCTTTCAAACACACTAAATAGTTTTATTGTCTTATAAACAAAAGCTGGTTTAGCTTTTAATTATACTGAAATCCACATGTATTTCTTAATATGAAAATCTGATATGTAGAATTTGACTATAATGAAATTTTCATATCCAGGAATTAAACAATAAATATGCCTGTAATGTATTTACTGAAAATTCTATACCATTACAGGGTGAGTCCTTCCTTGGTTTTATCAAGACGTTCTTCCCAAATTATCAATGTTACATAAACTGGCTATAGTTTTTCATTTTCCTGGGGAATCACTGTTTGAGAAATGATAGTACTTGTACAATCAGATCAAGAAAACAAGAGAAGTGATGAAGGGTGATTATTTAAGCTCGCTGTGTCAAATAGCACATTGCTAGTTCCTACCCTTGTTCCATTGCAGCTGGGCTGGAGAAGGAGGCTGTCACAGGGTTTCCCAAGCTTCGTACCTGAAATCTGTTCACCCAAACATCCTTTCTCTGGCTATCACTTTGTTAGGTAGATGCTCTACCACTTGAGCCATTCTACCAGCCCTGGCTATCACTCTGTAACCACCTTATGAACCTTTTTTTTTTCTTTCTTTTTTCTTTTATTATTCATATGTGCATACAAGGCTTGGTTCATTTCTTCCCTCTGCCCCCACCCCCCCCTTTTTTTTTTTTTAACTCAGGGTTCATGCTTGCTAGGCAGGTGCCCTACTACTTGAGCCAGAAGCTCTTTTTTTGCTTTAGTTGTTTTGCTTTAGTTGTGTTTTTGCCTGGACAGGCCTCAAACCACAATTCTTCCAATCTCTGCCTTCCGAATAGCTGGCATTACAGATGTGAACCACTACACCTGGCCCTCACCTTCTGAGTTTTATGGTGCCTTCAGTTACTACAGAATAGCATAACTCTTTATGGAATGTTACTGAGAAAGTGGACTTCACATATTGAAATTTTCTTTATAGGCTTCTTTTTAGGAATAACTCTATGGTAATGAGAATACAGACAGGAATGCACAGTGAGGAGTGGTGCAGCCGGCGGCAGCTATGGCGGCCGTACGCGGCCTGCGAGTGTCTGTGAAGGCGGAGGCCCCGTTGGGGCCGGCCTTGGGGCTCCCGTCACCTGAGGTGGAGTCTGGCTTGGAGCGTGGCGAGCCGGAGCCCATGGAGGTGGAGGAGGGCGAGCTGGAGATCGTGCCGGTGAGGCGCTCGCTGAAGGAATGCACAGTGAGGAGATTTCTTTCTTTTTTTTTTTTTTTTTGGAGCTACTGGAGCTTCACATTTCCAAAGCAGGAACTCTACTGTTTGAACCAAACCTCCAGCCCACTTTGCTCTGCTATTTTTTGGACAGAATCTTGCAAACTATTTGCAGGTCTGGCCTTGAACTGCAATCCTCCTATCTCAGCCTCCCAAGTTACTAGGATTACAAGCATGAGCCACCAGTGCCCAGGGAGAAAAAACAGTTTTATAACAGATTTTGCTGCTCCTTTCCTTCCTAAAATTTAAACTTTCTTGCCTTACATTGTAGTGAAACAGTTGTCATCCAAATCAATGATCAATGTCCCTATATGTTTATACACTTTTTGAAAGTAAAAGACTAAGATAAACTTTGATTACAATACTTGTACAGTAAGCTGACCTCATTAGCAGATTTATTTTGACCAAATGTAGTCAAAAAGCAATAAATAATAAAAGGAATTTCTGTGCGTGGATTCTGCAGCTTGGTTGATGTGGAGAAGCTCTCAGTCTCACATTAGCAGCAGTTGTGTTTAAATCGTTGTGTGATCTGCTGAGTATTTTCCTGCCCTTAATATTATGAAAATCTGTCTCCCAAAAAGCAAATGGTGCTCAAAAAGCAAAGTAAATGTGAACATGCTTACCTGAAGTGAATCAAGTGAAAAACGGAGGTTTGTTGAAAGGCAGCATGTCATTAGTGGAAGCTGGGCAGCCTCGTGGGGAAAATGAACCAGGTGATTGCAGTACAGCCCTAACTGTGCATCCTGAGAATCTGTGGTTTTTCTCAGCGGTGGTCTCCTTGGAACCACAGGCATGCAAAGACCAAATGTCTACTGTATTTTCTTATTACTTGCCTTTTTTGCAAAAATGTGTAAAGCTTCTGGATAATTGAGTAATTAATACAATATATTAATATAATGTGGGATTCATGTACACATCTTTTATATGCTCTAACATGTTCTTATAATCATTAGTTTTAATTTTCTTAAATGCAGTAATTATAATCAATTTTTATTAGACTTCATGTAAGAGTTGCATGCAGACAGAGAATGATGAAACTCCATCCCTTGCTTCTTCTGATTTCTCTCTTTTCTTTGCCCATCAAATAAAGAAGAATGGTAGCCTCAGTCTTTGTGTGTACTTGTAAAAAAGTGAAGTGGGGGATGGGGACAGTATATCCAAATGCTACGGCCCCTGATAACATTCTAGCTTCAAATCTCCTTTTCCCCATCATTAACTGGAAAGGTATTAAACTGCTTTTGTGACAGTGAATTTAGTAATTTCAGTTAGCAACTGACAGTCCAGAATGGGACTTTAATATGTTGTATTGTACTGAAGCATTAGGCAGACAATATCATTTTTGCCAATGGAAATGCTCAGGCTAAAAAAAGTCCACTCAGTATGCCCAAATAATAATCCTTTTAAAAATCCTTTGTAACTACCAGTAACCTCTGGATAATTGACCATACAAAACTAGCAAGTGATTCTCAAGGCCTCTATTAGCATCCAGGCCTGATATCACAAGTCAAGTAGAAGAGTTTTAGCAAGAACACTTTCACTGACACTTTTATGAATGCATCTTTTAATCCCTACAAGTACCATCACTTGCATTTTTTAGCATTCTTACTGAAGAAATTAAAAATGATTAAATTATGAGAAGAGTTATTTTTCCAATAATACAAAATCAAGTAGCAGCAGCACTCACCCACCTTCGCTAACCAGCTCACTATTGTCTGACTGCTTACAGGAGATGATCTTCTCCACTAGTTGGTTGTAGCTGCAGTTACCAACAGCTTTGACAATGTCATCAATCTAGAAAACAAATGACTGTCTCACCAATCACGATAAGAACAACAGCAAATGAAATCCGTATCACTCTTTAGGATTTTATTAGGGTACAATACTAAATATAAAAGTCTTACTTAGGAAAAAGAAAATCAGCACTAAAAATACCCAGTTTCTAATTTTGCTTACAGCTCAGTATAACATATCATGAAAAATAATGCATAGCTGTATTTTAATTATGTAAAAATGATGAAATGAAATTAGTACATGCAATGATATCACTATTATATTTTTTGGGGGTGGTGAGATAGGATCTTACTATGTAGCCCAGGCTGGCCTTGAACTTGTGATACTTTTCCCTCAGCCTCACAAGTGCTGGAATTACAGGTGTGTACCACCATGCCCATCTATAATTTTATTTATTTATTTTTGTAGTACTGGGGCTTGAACTCAGGGCCTTCACCTTGAGCCACTCCATTAGCCCTATTTTTTTGAAGGGTTTTTTTTTTTTTTTATTCATATGTGCATACAAGGCTTGGGTCATTTCTCCCCCGTTCCCACCCCCTCCCTTACCACCCACTCCACCCCCCCTCCCTCTCCCCCCACTCCCTCAAAACCCAGCAGAAACTATTTTGCCCTTATCTCTAATTTTGTTGTAGAGAGAGTATAAGCAATAATAGGAAGGAACAAGGGTTTTTGCTGGCTGAGATAAGGATAGCTATACAGGGCATTGACTCACATTAATTTCCTGTGCATGTGTGTTACCTTTTAGGTTAATTCTTTTTGATCTCACCTTTTCTCCAGTTCCTGGTCCCCTTTTCCTATTGGCCTCAGTTGCTTTTAAGGTATCTGCTTTAGTTTCTCTGCGTTAAGGGCAACAAATGCTAGCTAGTTTTTTAGGTGTCTTACCTATCCTCACACCTCCCTTGTGTGCTCTCGCTTTTATCATGTGCTCAAAGTCCAATCCCCTTGTTGTGTTTGCCCTTGATCTAATGTCCACATATGAGGGAGAACATACGATTTTTGGTCTTTTGGGCCAGGCTAACCTCACTCAGAATGATGTTCTCCAATTCCATCCATTTACCAGCGAATGATAACAATTCATTCTTCTTCATGGCTGCATAAAATTCCATTGTGTATAGATACCACATTTTCTTAATCCATTCGTCAGTGGTGGGGCATCTTGGCTGTTTCCATAACTTGGCTATTGTGAATAGTGCCGCAATAAACATGGGTATGCAGGTGTCTCTGGAGTAACCTGTGTCACAGTCTTTTGGGTATATCCCCAAGAGTGGTATTGCTGGATCAAATGGTAGATCATGTTAGCTTTTTAAGTAGCCTCCAAATTTTTTTCCAGAGTGGTTGTACTAGTTTACATTCCCCCAACAGTGTAAGAGGGTTCCTTTTTCCCCGCATCCTCGCCAACACCTGTTGTTGGTGGTGTTGCTATGATGGCTATTCTAACAGGGGTGAGGTGGAATCTTAGTGGTTTTAATTTGCATTTCCTTTATTGCTAGAGATGGTGAGCATTTTTTCATGTGTTTTTTGGCCATTTGAATTTCTTCTTTTGAGAAAGTTCTGTTTAGTTCACTTGCCCATTTCTTTATTGGTTCATTAGTTTTGGGAGAATTTAGTTTTTTAAGTTCCCTATATATTCTGGTTATCAGTCCTTTGTCTGATTGTAGCTGGCAAATATTTTTTCCCACTCTGTGGGTGTTCTCTTCAGTTTAGAGACCACTTCTTTTGATGAACGGAAGCTTTTTAGCTTTATGAGGTCCCATTTATCTATGCTATCTCTTAGTTGCTGTGCTGCTGGGGTTTCATTGAGAAAGTTCTTACCTATACCTACTAACTCCAGAGTATTTCCTACTCTTTCCTGTATCAACTTTAGAGTTGTGGTCTGATATTAAGATCCTTGATCCATTTTGAGTTAATCTTGGTATAGGGTGATATACATGGATCTAGTTTCAGTTTTTTGCAGACGGCTAACCAGTTTTCCCAGCAGTTTTTGTTGAAGAGGCTGCTATTTCTCCATCGTATAATTTTTGCTCCTTTGTCAAAGACAAGTTGGTTATAGTTGTGTGGCTTCATATCTGGGTCCTCTATTCTGTTCCACGGGTCTTCATGTCTGTTTTTGTGCCAGTACCATGCTGTTTTTTTATTGTTATTGCTTTGTGATATAGTTTGAAGTCAGGTATTGTGATACCTCCAGCATTGTTCTTTTGACTGAATATTGTCTTGGCTATTCGTGGCCTCTTGTGTTTCTTTATAAATTTCACGGTAGATTTTTCAATCTCTTTAATGAATGTCATTGGAATTTTGATGGGAATTGCATTAAACATGTAGATTGCTTTTGGGAGTATAGACATTTTTACTATGTTGATTCTACCAATCCATGAGCATGGGAGATCTCTCCACTTTCTATGTCTTCCTCAATCTCTTTCTTCAGAAGTTTATAGATTTCCTTGTAGAGGTCATTCACATCTTTTGTTAGGTTTACACCTAGGTATTTGATTTTTTTTTTGAGGCTATTGTAAATGGAATTGTTTTCATGCATTCTTTTTTCAGCTTGCTCATTGTTAGTGTATAGAAATGCTATTGATTTTTCTATGTTGATTTTATATCCTGCTACCTTGCTATAGCTATTGATGATGTCTAGAAGCTTCTGAGTAGAGTTTTTTGGGTCTTTAAGGTATAGGATCATGTCATCTGCAAATAGGGATATTTTGACAGTTTCTTTACCTATTTGTATTCCTTTTATTCCTTCTTTTTGCCTAATTGCTCTGGCTAGGAATTCCAGTACTATGTTGAATAGGAGTGGAGATAGTGGGCATCCTTGTCTGGTTCCTGATTTTAGAGAAAATGGTTTCAGTTTTTCTCCATTAAGTATAATGCTGGCTGTAGGTCTGTCATATATTGAAGGGTTTTTTTGAGATAGGGGTTGCGGAACTATTTCCCCGGGCTAGTTTTGAACCATGACCCTCCTGATCTCTGCCACCTGAGTTGCTAGGATCACAGGTGTGAGCCACCAGCACCCAGCTATAATTTTATTTTTTTAAGTCATAGAGATGTACTTAAGTGTTAGCAGGAATGAATATATGCGACATAGGCTTGTGGGCCAGATATCATGTGCTTGTAGGCTATACTAAGGATTTTGGGTTCATTCTAAAGACTAACCAACTGAGGGAAGAAGGTACAAAGCATGATCCGTCTTTGTGCCCCTAAAGTAACTACTGAAGAACCATGAAATTGGAAGCCACTAATTGTTAAGGAAAGAAGGACAGTTGAAATCTGGATGCCAGAGTATTTCTCAAATCATTAAAATATAATACAAGCACATTAAAAAGTATTTCCACCTGTTCAACAGATAAAACCAACCTAAGGCCTGTTTTTACAATCTCTGAAAGCAAACTAATTGTGACTGAAACTACAATGCTTCACTCAAATTCAAGATCAGATTCATTGAAAATTAGAACAAACTTCAACACTGGTTAAAATCAATTTGGTTCACAGTAATTTCCGATAATCAGACATAAACTTGTTTTGTATCTTTATTCTATGATATTTCAGCACAAGAAAAATGAGCTTCAAAATATTCGTACTATAGCAACATCATTAACCATGCAAATAATGACAACTATCATGAATTGATTTCTTTCCCAAAAAAATTCACCGATTCACTGATAAGTTATCTAAGTTTTAAGCTAGACAACCATGAAAATAGACTATTATCAGTTTGACATGGTTTTTTTTACAAATGTTTTTAGAAAGTCTAAAAATAAACAAAATAATAAGATGATCTACCTGGTTTTACTTCTGTATAACTGATATCGGCATAAGCAGACAGTTTAAGTACAGTTACTCTGTCTTCATTTTTTTCAGAATTAAGCTAACTAAATTCTAAATCATATTTTATATTGTAGACTTATTTTGTTCAGGCAAGTGCCAGTAAACTTAAAATCCCTAAGTTTTTATCAGTTCCGATTGCACAAGTATTTATGCTCAGGTTTCATTAACTAAGCAATTCCTGCATTTAAAGTACTGGAATCTCTCTTCTACAGTAAACTAAATTAACCGAGCTAGCATTTATAGCATTGAACAATTTAATTCTTCCTTTCTGCTCCACTTTAAACTGTATGATTTCTATCTGTTTCTAAGGGTAGGACTCTTTGTTTGTTGTTTTTTTTAGTGGCTTTGAATATATCATTTGAGGAAAGCCCATCTGATGTCAGTTTCTTTTTTGTTGAACTTCCACTGAGTCAGGCCTGAGATAAAGAATTTTCTCTTCATACCAAGGCTTTAATTATGGTAATTAGTCTGTGTAAATTTTGGTAAATTTGGCAGCCAATTCAGGTTCTAATATGCATAGCCTCTTTCTGTTTCAAATTGAGTAGGTTTTTTAAATCAGTTTTTAAGACAGGTCTTACTATCTGCGTGCCATACTCTTAGATTTTGAGATGGAATGTTATTTCAAACTCTGCTACAATCATTAGCAGGTTGGTTATTTTTAATATTCATGAAGCTTTCATCTTAGCAAATTAATCCCCCAGCCATCTGTGATTAGATGGGTACTTTTGGGGGTCTGTCTAGTTGTGTGTCTTTGAGACTGAAAGACTGGCAGCTTCCTGGCAGTAAATTAACCCTCAAACGCACTTGGTGCCAAATGCTTTGAAATGTTTGCCCCCCAGTTCTTGTCTGTGCCTTTCTGTTCGATTTCACTGATGTTTGCTTCCTCACCAGCCATCTCATTTCATTTCTGCAGCCATTGTGACACTTTGGATTTTTTTCCCTTGCTTTTTCGTTCAAAACGTATCTTTCACAGTGTTTTTTTGTTTTTTTTTTGTTGTGTGTATTTTTCTTTTTAAAAGTAGGCATGCTAACAATTGAGGAAAAAAGAGCCAGAATACTAATTGTTATTTCATTTTGTGGATGTCTAGGTACATTAGGGGTAATTTGTGGGATAATATAAATATGTGTGTGTGGTGTGTGTTGTGTATATTATTATCTATATATTAATACATATATGA